TTATGTCATGATATAATTATGTTAATTTTAAGTTTTTATATTAAAAGTTTATGTTTAGAATTCATGTTTTACATTATTTTGATAAATACATATGTATGTTAGTTTTCGATTTCGTTTTGTTCGCTCACACTTTGATAGAATGTTACCTTCACTTTATAACACATAATTCTATTATTGAATAAAAAGCATAGAACATATATTGAATATACAATGTAATATTGTTATATCACACCTATACATTTATAAAAATTCAATGATAAGAAAAAAAAATTGAATATCATTTTTAATTATTGTTTATTTTAGTTTATTGAAAAAGTAGGGTAGACAAACTGTCTACTATTATAAAAATGTTTATAACATATTATAAAATAAACACATAGATAATATTAAAAAAGGTATTTATTACATTTGATAATTAAATTTATTGTCATATAAGGAAAAAACATAATTATAAATATGTTAAAATTATTAACCAAATATACTTGAGCTCATAAATAAATTAAATAATAAAACATTTTTATGCAGCCTTTGTTTGTAAATAATGAACAAACTAAACAAATTAAAATCTGTTTTCGTAATTATAAATTCTGTGCTGAAAAATCGGGCCACGGACATGCATAAATATTCGTTAATAATTCAATATTTTTATTTGAATTAGCACACGTAAAAATAGCTCGGATAGTTTGAAAATTGTCACAACTGTGTTACTTAACAAAAATAATGAAATTACTTAGTATTTATACTTTAACGTGTTACTTAAATTATTTTAATTGTTATATGTACCAACATAATATGTGCACAGTAGTTCCCTATTTAAAAGTAAAATTGGCTGGCAAAATTATTTTAATTGTTATATCTACCTAAAATTGGCCCCAACCAATTTTACTTTTGCTTCTATATTTTAAGTTTTTTTTATTAGGAAAATTACTAAGAACTTTTATTCTGGTTGCAAAAGAAACTTTACAAATTTTTTGATTAAAAAATTAAAGTTTTTAATGCAATGGGACCCTGATTCTTATTATTTAGTAATTAATTATTCCATATTTTTAGGATGATAACAGAAACTGAAAGAAGCGTTCACATGGTCATCGAATTTGCCAACTAATTGGATCAGTTAGATTGAAATTACATTATTATAATTTGTGATAACAAGATATTTACATCTAGTTTCGTACACCTATGTATATAGAAATTTAAAATTGCACACCTATTTGGAAATATGTATAAGGAACTGCAAATTTTAGAGGTAATAACTTGAAATGGCAAATAAACGTAAGGAGTAAAGCTGACGAGCACATTTTTTTCATATCAAAAAAGTATTCATTCGTGGAAAAGAACCGAAAGGTACTACACAGATATCGAAATATCAAAACTTTTCTAAATTGAAACCATACACTCCCACATAATTCTCACTAGAAAATCAAACAAAATATTTATGTGTTTATAAAAGCTAAAAAAATTCATACATACATACAACTTAAAAAAGATCCAGACAGAAATTATTGTGAAGAATAAATTTATATTATTATTATTATGGAAAAGTTGTTTTGTCAAAAAAGCAAAATAATAGTTAAAAAAACCAGTTAACAAAAGTGTTAACACTAATTTAAACATTAATGTTTACTTTCTTCTCATACATTATTTAATATTTATATAATAAATAAATAAAATTATCTTTTCATCTTAAATCCTTAGCACTTATCGCAATCTACATATAAATTAAATGAGCATTGTAGGCGAAAGATTTTTAAAATTCCCTGACACATATAAAATGTTTAATATTTTTGAAGATAATTTTAGGTAGAATTCAGCACATTAAAAAAAAATTATAATTTTTATAACCTTAAATTAATATTCTTATTCACATAGTTTGAAAGCGAGTTAAATTTAAAGTTCTTTACAATATAAAACAGAATATTATAAAGTGTATGGGAACTACTAATTTTCAAAAATTCCATTATTATAAGACGTCATAATTCAAAAGTCCGATTTATAATGTTAATTCCTAAAGTTTTTGGTAATTCACCTTGTAAAAAAACCTTATAAAGTTTACTATAACAATAATCAATATTATTACGTTTCTAACGATAATTATTACGTCATAATTATTATAAATTTTATGACGTCTTAAGAAGCTTTACGATGACAAATCAACAGATATATTTGCTTATAAGTAATAATAACATGAATATGTGTATATAAAAATTATAATATAAAAATAAGAAAATCTAGCCGTATACAATAATGTTTTATTAATGTTATATTAATTTATTTTGATTACTATTTGATATGATAGTAGCTTTTTAAATGACAATCGAATAGTAAATGCATAATATTAAAGAATATTTCAATTGCCATTCGTTCATATATATGTATGTCTCCAATGAGAAATTGAAAAGACAAAATATATGGTATACAGGAATTTATACATTGAATATCATTATTAATAGTCCATTATTAATGTTAATTGTTATATAATATTAAAAGTCATCATTTTTGTGCTGTTCTTAAATTATATCATTGAATTCATAATGGTGGGTGATTGGCATAAATTCTTTCAAATGGAAATAGCTCATTCAGCATAATAATAACAAAATTCTTAAATAATAAAATGAAAATTATTAATGAATATTTAAGTTAATAATTAATATATAAAGCAAAGAATTAAATGCTACTTGAATACAAGCAATTGATGTGTCGTAAATTTTTATATTGAAATGGCCTTGCATTTAAAATCAAGATTTAAATTAGATCTGAACAAATTAAAAAAAATATACATTTTTTGGAATAACCATAATCAACTCTTATAATAAATTTTATTACATATTTAATAGAACTTTCTGTGTGTTGGGAATAATTAAATAATTGAAGTATGCATGAATGAAAAAATATGTGTATATTGTATATTGGCCTCTCAATAAATATAGGATATCTAATAAAGAGGTATATTTTTAAGCTATAGTTTTATTTACAGCAAAATCTTCATTTTATTATGATATTTATATTTCAGAAATCTCTACTCATTTGGATAATTCTTTGGTAATTTCTGAAAACTATTCTTTTTCCTGGAAAATATTTCTTTTTCCTGGACATGTTTATGGCAGCTGACACCCAGGCTCAAGAAATCTCTAGATGGTAGTGAAGAAACTCAAAATGTAATTTTAATTATTTAGTAATTATTCATTACTCATCACTAATGACGTATCTTTCATCAAATGACGTACTTACATTCATACATTTACATGTGTAAGCTTAATGCAGTTCTCATTTACAGTTTACCAAAAGGGAATTGTTAATTGGACTATTAAAACTAATATATAGGGCTATTAATTACAAATATTACAGTTCCCATATCGATTACTCAACTTTTAAAGAATAGTAATTACTAAAATTCTAGCCTAATAATTATTATATTAACATTATTAAATTATTTTTTTAAGTTGCATCATACAAAATTTTCATTAAAATATATTAAATTTATTATATGTACATATGTACATCATGTCGCATACCCTCTATATAATATTAATTTTTTTGAAAAAGTATAAATTAATCCCATCTTACGGTATATTTTACTACAAATAAAATTATTTGTAATATATGTATATTTTGTATATGTATACATTTATATACATATACGACTAGACAAATACATTCATAAATTATATGCATTAAAAAATTTTTTTGATTTTAAAACACACCGTTTGCTAGCCTAAATCTAATAACTAAAACCTTTTCCTGAGTTCATATCATATTTTTCTGTTTTTAAAATATAAAATTATATACATAAATATGTGTGTATTACAATTTATTATACATGTATTCATATAATTTTCAATGATATATGATTGAGTATAAATTTTTTTCGCTACAAAGCTGATTGCGTCGTCTCTACGCGCCTCCATATTTTCTTTTCTAGTCAATTCATTTCACTAAACTATATTTTATATTTATGTATATAAATTTTATATTGTGAATTGTTGTGAATTGTGATGCCTGATGCGATGATAATGCGATCTTTAGTGCTAGTCTTTTATTACAATAACATTAAAATTTTTTAATTTTTTTTTTATTATTTACTACTACAATGGAAATTAATTTCACACACATTTAAAAAACTTACCACTACATTATTAATATTAAATATTCCTTTATGGTAAAAACTGGTATTCACATTTGTAAAGCAATTCAGTTTTTCTGGGACTGCTTAACAGTTAAGAAGACTTTGTTTTAATAAATGTTGATTAGTAAATAAAATTAATTAAAAATAATAAGGAAAATTGAAAGAAAAAAATTTTTTAAAATAGAAAATTTATAATTAAGCGTGTAATAATTTTTATTTGTTCCGTAAATAAGTTTTTAAAGGAAAAATTTAGTAAAATAGAAAAAAAAAGAAAGTTATTTAAGTTTTAATCTAATTTATTTATTTTTTTTTAAATAAATAATACAAAAAATTCATGTTTTGTTTGTTTTGTAAATAAAAATAAAATAAAGAAATAGAAAGTTAGATTATTTTGACAAAAAATAAATGAAAAATTTATTTTAATAATTTTTGAAAATTTTACAAATTATGTAAAATACGATCGGAAACTAGAGAGTTGTTTTTTAAAAAATTACCTATGTACATTGTACGTTTGTAAGAACAGAACATAGCGTTTTTGCTTATATTGAAAAATAACATTTAACTGGAGATACTTAAACGTAATAAAACAAGTTTTGTTAGTTAAAAGAAATTTAAGACAAATAATAAATATATTCAAAAAATTATTATAAAATTTAAAGAAAAAAACTCAAAAGTGAATCATAATTTAAGTTTAAAAGTTTTTTAAACGCATAAAAATATTTAAAAACAAAAAGGAATATAATGTTACTTTGCATATACTAGAAAGTTTATGACGAGAATTTATTTAAAATATTCGAAATAAAATTTAATCATAGTGTTTAATTTGATTTTTCAATCAAATTTTTGTATTTTATTATAATCGAAAAATTAAATTAAAAAAGAATTCATTAACAAAATTTCAAGATTTTAAGAATATTAAAAAAAAACAAAGAGAGAATACAAAAATAGTTTAAACTTAAAAAACAAAAAAACTGTAAATAATAATTAAAATACAACATTATTAATAATAACGGTATTAAATTACCGGAATACATACATTTGGATAATATAAAAATATAAAATAAAAATTTTATTTTATTTTAAAATAAAATAATTATTGTATACTTGAAATACATAACAATTTCTGGATAATAATATTAATCAAGTATGTCTTCAAAAGTTTTACCACCAGCTGCATCAATTATTTTACCACCATCATCAAAAAAATCAACAACAACTACAACAAGTACAACAAAATCAACCACATTTAATATTATTAAGAATTCAACAATTAAATTACAAGAATCAAATAATTTAAAATCAACAACAAGATCATTATCATCTAATACAGCTAATAAAACTATTACAACGACAACAGCAACAGCAACAATGGATTGGTCTAATGAGAAAATACGTTTAAATTGTGGTATTGATAATATTAGTTTAAGACAATTATGGAAATTAATTGTATTAAATAGTAATAGCAATAATAATAATAATAGTAATAGCAATAATGATGATAGTAATCATAATATGGATAACAATGATAATAATGATCATTTAAAACAACAACAACAACAGCAACAATTAAATATTGAACAATATCAACAACAAAAGGATAATTTAAATAATAAAAAGAATAATGTAAGTATTTTTGTTTTAATTTATACTTAAGTATTGTCTATTTCTTATATCTTTTCATAAAAATATTAAATTACAACAAGTTTCTTTTGGAATATCATAATAGGTTAGGAAACTAAACAGTTTTTTTTTTGTTTTTTTATCATTATTATAATTTTCTGTTTTGTCTGTTTTCTACTCAAAACTCCAATATCAATATTTAAAATGTACAGCAAAGCAATTTTTGACTTGGATATGACATAAGCGGTGAAGTAGTTTTATATTAGCATATTTGAGCTATATGAATAGCTGTTCAAAATATGTATGTGAATTTATATTCAAGTATAATCAAATTTTATCAGTATAAACAAATAAACAAACAGATAAACAAATATTTTATAAGGATAAACAAAGAAATTATAAAAATTGAGATCAAAATTCAATCGTATAATTTTTTTTTGTTTTTAACTTTAACGCCTTCAATACAATATTAGATAAATAGCGATTTCGATCGTGATCGCGATAATTCTTCCTCAAACAGTGTTCAATATGAATTGATCTTGATTACTAAATTTTTAGTCTCATTCTACATTTATATTGAGCATAACATAAGTTGTAGCAACTTAAAATTTTGTAGCATTATTGTAAAATCTAATTGGAAAAATTTGTACTCTTATAAAAATTGGAATAAGTACAATTATAATGCATCTCTTTTACTATTATATGTATCATATAACAAGAGAACTAGTTATACCTCTTTAAATACCTGTACCTATATTTATATTAAAAAAAAAATATTCAACTTGACAAAAAAACTATTATAAAATTAGAAAAAAATTTATCTAAAATGGGGAAAAACTGTTCGAACTTCTATTCATCATGGCCAGATAAAAGAATATATGACGCAAATTCCAATTACCAATTCCAAGTAGTTATGACTGGATCGTGATCCAAGTATTTCGTAATGGTACTCAAGTTTTGCCAACATTCTTATTATTTTGGGGGATTACTTGCGCTTATTTTCATTATGATCTGGTAAAAATAATAAAATTGTAGTAATCAAACACAAAATTAATAATTTTTGATAACATGATAAATAAGGTAAATAACTTGATAATCTACTTTTAACAAATTTTTAACAGGACGCCTTCAATTTCAACACCACAAATAAAACAAAATCTTTTGATTTACTTATTTTCATTTTGGAAATAAAAAAAATCAATGATCTAAGTCACGTATTCCAGACACTAGATATGACCATTTTTGAGGGAAATTCATTTATTCCAGATTATTCTATTGTGCTCATAAGTATTTATATGCTTATGAATACTTTTTATTCATATACTTATATATTTACAAATTATAACACTCACAAAAAATTAAAGTGGTATAAGTAACAAAATCTTGATATTCCATTTGTTTTTTTATTAAATATTTTTTCCACCCACTTACAAAAATTAAAATAATTAAAAACAATTTATTGAATTAAAGTACAATAATTAAATAAGAAAAATAAATAAAATACTTAATACACAGAGAAAAACATTCACATATGAAAATTTTAATTTTCGAATTCGAGGTTAAAAAGAATCTTGAATGTGAAAACAATTTTTTGATTTTTATTTTTTCTTTGATCAATTTTGGTGTGATGGCAATGAATGTGGTGAATCTTTCTTGTTTTTTTGGAAATTTAGTTATACTTTCACTGAAAGAAAGTTTTCATGTTAAAAAATTGTTGCTTGTTATTAAAAATGAAAAAGAAAAAAAAAATAAATTCACTTTTATATTTTAATTTGTTTTTTTTGTAGATTTTATTGATATAACCTGTATAAAAACCAAAAACAGAAGAAATATTATACTGAAGCGGTTTTATTACATACTTACAAACTTATAGTTTGTTTCTTAACAAAAAAATATTGTAAATTTTTGTTTTTGTATTTCGATTGTAAAATTTTTCCGTTAAAAAACCACAAGAATTTTTTTTTTAAAATTCCACAACACATGCATGAAAAAATGTAGTAGATTATAAAATTCCCAAATGGTTATTATTTATATTTTTATAAATACAATCAAAATATTTTTTTAAGGAGGAGAGAGGGGTTTGGTTATTTACACCGCACTCAAAGTTCTATACATTAGGACTTAAATTTCTTAAGTTTTTTTAAGTTTACGCAGTCTGCAAATAATCAGTCGTTCGAAAATGACATATGTACTAAAATGACATTGGTATGAAAATTAAAATTTTTATTAAAATTAGATTGATTGTACGTAGACATACTTATGTAATTGAAAAGATTTAAAGAATCCTTCAATATCTGAATCTGACACTTAGAAATTTCAAGTGAAAAATTTAAACTAAATGTCTACACTACATTTCTGACATTTCTTTAAACTACAAAATTATTTTCGGAGCGTAAATTCGCATTTACTTACAAAATTACTCATTACCTGAACGAATTATATTTTCAGTGTGCAAAGCATACAATTCTGGAATATATGCTAAAAATTAGGATTACTCTAGAACTGAATTAACGAAAACCCTCCAAGTATATTAAATAAATTATTACAATATTTATACATTACATATTTATTCACATACTTTCTACCTATCTCTGTTGTGTTAAAAATACTCTCGGTTCTTTACCTTATCTTAAACTCCCATGGGCAATTTCAAATATTAATAAAAAAAATTTCATTTTATATATGTAATTGTACATACACATTTAAGTATACATTTGAAAATATTTAATTAACTGATCACTTGGGTAAGCACTTATGTATGAAAATAATAAAGTTAATTATTTCACTCTACAATGTTTACTCTATTTAAGAGTAAGAGCTCTTCTCTCCATGGGTTCTAAAATTTGATAATTTATTGTATTTAAGTTGAATAATTATTATTGTAATAACAACAGGAAAAAAACATTCTATGTACATACTATATTTTGCTTTTAGAATAATTTATTGATGCCTACATTTAAGTATTCAAAACATAATCATTTTAAATATTTTCAACTTGGAAACAAAAATTTATGCATTGCTAGTGCTTACATTTTGCACGTATTCACCATTTTTTTTTTTTTAATTCAGAAATTTATTGACGTAACTCAAAAACTTTTACAAAACAAAAAAAAATTGATATCATTTTATAAATTTTCAATTTGCCGGTCCTTTATATAAGCTTATTTTTATTTCTTATGCTTATTTATTATTTATAATAATAATAATGATTGTATATAAAAATGATAATTAGCAAAATGACCCCCCATAGACACTATTAAATTCTAATCAAAATTTTAATTTTTTTTTTTTTACTTTGTTTTCTATAAATAAAATTATTTCAAAATATTTTGATAAAATTTACAATAATATGAAATTGAAGAGAAATTTGAAACAAAAATTAAATAATGAGATATTTTTGAATAAAAACTTCCGATTTTAATAATGAAATTAAAATAACTTGAAAAAAAAAATCAATTATTATCGCGAAAAGAACAATTAATTAATTATATTAAAATAAATGTAGGTGCTTTTATATACACAAAATTTAGGTTTAGAATCATTCCATACACTTATTTATTTGATATTTAATTTTTGGTTTGATAACCTTTTTGTTTAAAATATTTTAATGAGAAATTTTTGATTTTTTAATTACAAAGGTTAATTAAATGTCTTCAATTTTTAAATTATAAGTATATTATTACTCTTCAAAAATATTTTGGACTTTTGGTTCGAAATTAATGTTATTGTATTTTGAAAAAAAATTTTAATTTGAGATTTTTAATAAGCATTCTTGAAAATGGCAAGAAATATTGAGAATCTTATCAAAAACAAATATGTAAATTTTGTAAATTTTACCAAATATATTTTTCTAGAGGGCTCTATTTTCTTAAAATAGCGGAACAGCCTAAGACGGTGGTCACATTCTCTAAATACTTTCAAACTTAATTTAACAAAAGTAATCAACTACATATTCTGGTGTTACAATTTATGATATTCGGCTGCATTTTGCGGTCAGAATGTATACTTCAGTGCAACCAACATTAAAATGACGCTTTCGATTACTGAAAATGTTTTCGAGAACTTCAATATCATAATAATTATTGTGTCGAACATAATTAAAATACCTTCTAAATAATTCGTAATTTTTGTTATTTCGGGAATTAAAGTATTAATCAAAATATATTTTTAGTAAATAAATAATTGCATTAATTAATTTTATACTTACATAAGCTTCATAACTTTAATTTTAATTCTGGCAATGAGATTATTAAATTAAATATATACCCACTTCTAATCTTAACATTAATATGAAATGCGTGTTTAAAATCAGAGTACTTATTTTATTTAATAAAATTACATCATCTCTATAATATTTTGGGTTTAACCAGACAACTTATTATTAAATAAATTGCTAAATTACTTATACATACATATATAAAATAATACTTACTTATTATACAAGTGAGTATTTATAATATAATAAATTTTAAATTAATTAGATAATTATACTTAATAAGTATCATATATTTAAAGAATAAATACAATTTTTTTTTGTAAAATAACCTTAATTATACATAAAAACAATGAAATAAACTTAATAAAATAAAATTGTTTTAAATGAGAAAATGTCAAAAATAAAAAAAAAAATATAATTTAGCTTTAAATTTTATTAATTTTATTTGATTTTGACCTTTAATGTATCATCCTGTATATTATGTATTGGTCATTGAACTACGCTCCTAAGTATGTATACGATTTATTAGATTAAATATTGTTATCTTAGAACAACCACTTTGAAATATAAGCAAGTCGAAAAAATATTTTTATAATATTTAAACATGATCTCGATTTTCCGGCAAAATTATTATTATCTGGTACTAACTTTGATTATTAATTACGTTCATATATATAAATATTGTAAATCTTATATATTTTTGTGTTAAGATGGCGCTGATTTCAATTTATAATTTACTTATAGCTTGCCTTTTTTAACAGTTAAAAATTTGAAAATTTGACAACGA